AGATAGATAGATAGATAGATAGATAGATAGATAGATAGATAGATAGATAGATAGATCTGATCTGATCTGATCTGATCTGATCTGATAAAGAAAGGGGAAAAAACGTACTGCATGCAAGGAAAATGAACATCCCTCTCCCTTCTGTAAGTGTGACATGGCTCAGGCCACTTTGCACCAGTGCCTTGTCCACTGCAGGCTTCCTCCTTCCCCTAAATGTTAGATGCCAGCCTTAGCAACCAAAAAATTGCCAGCCTTTACACTGGTCTCATAGCTGCCTTGCATCATAAATAATCATTCTAAATCATTCATTCGTGGGACACAAGGAGAATTATTTGTCCTTGCAACATCCTTTTCCTGTATGTAGATAATTAAAGACCCAGGTTGTTTCCAAAAGGGCCTTTTGATGTACAGTTTTATGGTTCATCCTGACAATTTCTCAGAGGATGCAGAAAATATCATTGTCCTTTAGTAATCAGCTTAGATTTGGCCTTCCTTTTGTCAATTTTATTCTAAGTGGAGGAGTGGTAAAAAGTGCTTGGAGAGAAAGACCTGAATCAGAAGCACAAATCCCCAAAGATGTGATGTTCCTAGTGGCTTTGGGCTTGTTTATCATCCCTTCCTCCTCCATTCCTTTCCTGAATACCAAAGTTGTGAGCATACAGACTTGTATATTACAAGAATGTTATTATAACAGGAGGAGGAGGATACAGTACCTTGAGTCTAGAAGTATTTTGTAGAGAAAAATAAAAATACCTAAGGAGGAACACATGCAAGCACGCCAACGCTTGCATGTTTGTAATTACAGTATAGATGTGTTTGTGGGGAATCAGTAGGTGAGAATGGGCTGGAAAAGAGGCTGAGGTGAGTGGCACAGGTATTTAGATCTACAAATACATCAAGGCCCACCGCTGGTATGAAAGTGCTGGCAGTAAAACACCTACATGATTTGTATGAATACTCTAGTTCTGCATGCTACAAACTCCAGAGAGCCAAACAGATTAGTAAGAAAGAAGGTTCATGTCTGGATGCAGCCTCAGATGTAGAGCCTGAGGATACAGTGGTGTAAATTGAATGTTGCCTTAGAGCTTACATATCTTTCAGATGAGGTGCCTGTTGTCACACTTGTACATTAGCCACACTTGTATAACAGCACACCTCCCTGTTCTCTTTCCAGCGCCATCTGTCCCCAGAGGAATTTTACCAGGTGTTTGGCATGACTGTTGCTGAATTTGATCGCCTGGCTTTGTGGAAAAGAAATGAGTTGAAGAAGCAGGCACGGCTATTTTGAAAACAGTATACATAAAAACTATATAAAGATCTCTATACAGAAACTCTGTATAATACAGAGTTATAAAATAGGATCTCTGGCTGTTCTCTTTGGAAGCCTGTAGAATGAACCGAAGTCTCACAGATATTTTTATGCTCTTTGTTTCTTTTATTCTTTTTTTAAAAAAGAGTAACTGTTATTTGGGAAACTTTTCAAGTGTGGGGAGGATTTGGAACTTGTTTTTATACTGAACTATTTCTTTTTCTTACATGAATGTTGAGAACCTTGGGCATTATTGTACCTCACCCATGAGCCTCTTAAACGCAAGTCTGGAGAGATAAGGAGGATGATGGAACTGGGGGCATGCTTTGCATAGAGGCAACCATCCTTATGCCTCCCAGATGGCTTCAGAATATCAGAAGTATGCTGCTCAATCAGGCCGAGGATTTATCTCAACCTGCCTTTGGTTTCTAACAGTGGCTTCACAAACGTCTTTTGCATTTTTGCTGTTAATTTCCTCGCTATCTTAATCATGTCTCAGGCTATTTGCACCAAGATCTAAACATGTTGGAATAGAAGGACACAAATAAAGCCAAAATCTATCTAGCCAGCATTCTTTTTTCTCATAGCAGCCATCCAGATAACTCTTGGAAATTAAAAAGATGGGCTTTAAGGTGATGAGCATCCTTCTGCTTTATGTTCCTCCCTGCAGCACCCAGTAATCATGCTGATTGCCTCTATATATGGAGGCTTTATATAGCTATTATTGAGAGTAGCCATTTTTAAAGCTATTTTCCATGAATAAATATTAGCTTCCAAAAATTCTTTTTCTCTTAGTTACAGTGGCATGCAGCTGTCTTCCATTCCTCCTCAGTGATCAGTGGAAAGCAGTTCATTGGAACACTTACTAAAATCCATTCTTGCTTCACTAGGTACTCTTGCATTAATGGAATAGGAAGCTAGGTTTCTTGGAACAAAGAATTATATGCTCACTTAAATACTTACTCTGGATACTTTAACACCATTTTGGATATAATTTACATTTGCACAGGTCTATGGAATGTACACAGCCTTTTCTAGTCTAGTGGTTTCCAGCTATGTTGGCCTAAAACATCTGGAAGTCATACTTAACTGGAATTGATGGAACTTACAATCTAAAACTATAGGGCACCAGGTTTGGAAAGGCTAGTTCAGACAACCTGTGATATGCGCCCAATTAAAAATGATCCTCCTTTCCATTATTTCAGCTTCCTCCTGCATTGCTAGTCATTGGAAGGTCTAGATAGTGGTCATTTAAAAAAAAAACCACTGCTGTGAAAGAGCTTAACCTTACAAACTTGAGGTCAAACTTAAAAAAAAGAAAAAGAAAAATCACAGGAAATAACTTGACACCACAATTCTCAAAGAAAACAGTTATATACACTAATCAGTGGTTTGTTGAGTAAGTCATGATAATGCTAAGCCATTAACCATGGTTTAGAAATCACAATGGTTTGATTCACACAATATGCTAAGCTAAAATCCAATAAACTATATTATGGGTTAGCATGTTATGTGAGCCTTGACACTGTTGTTCTTTAAATAAACCTTGGCTGTGGTTGTTTAAAAAAAGATGAAGCTTTACCCAGGCAGGATGTGATGTTCAAAGCATTACATCTGAACTTTTGTGTGAGTTTTATATATATTTTCCAAAAGCAGTGGTCATACTACGGAATCATACTCCAAACTTTCAAACGTGTATAAAAACTGTTGGACTATAGGAAAAAAAAAAGAGTTTGGAGAATCCTTGGCACTTGAAATATCTTGTTCATCTTTAATTTAACTAATTTTACTGCATATGGTTGGCCTTTTGTGGTCACTAGCAACATTTCTGATATTGTGTCAAATCAGTATGATCAACTTCTGAATGAAAAAATGTACATGGAATGTTTTGATTTGGGAAATTGTACGTTTGTTCTTTCTTAAAAGAAAAAAAATATTTCTTACCTAATACACTGTTTGAACAAAATAATTGTGAGTTGTCTCATGTTGTTGTCTTATCATTTTTTTCCTCTTTGAATGAATTGGCTCCAAAGCTGAAATCTATGGTTTCCAACTAGGTGGGCAAACGCATGTCTCTCTATACTGTATGAACTGACAAAGCTACTCAGAGTCTCTGGAAATGGAATGGCATATAAATTAATGTAATAAATACATTCTTCTTTTACATATTAGAGATGAATGCCATGTTAGTATGGCATCTTAGTTGGTATCCGCTTTTGATTCTGTCTAAAGAAAAGCCATTTTGTTGGGGATGTTCTTCAGCATCAAGTTCACAATTGGATGAGATGGTCAACAAGGCTCTCTCCAACTCATAATTTTAGGATACTAATTTTTTATTTGTTATTTCTGAAATCAAAAACTCAGCCTTGTATAAGAATACAACAATTTCCCCCCACTCCCAGGAGGAGAATGATTAACTCTATATTATATATCTCCTTACTCTAGCTGAGAGAATGTTGATTACATATCAAAAGCAATGCTGCTTTTTACCATGTGAACTGCATATTGCCCATATGAGCTGAGAACATTTTCTAGTTTTTCATCATCCCTTAGGCTTATAAGCAATTTTCATGCTCTTCCTAACTGAAGGTATAACCCTACACTTACTTACCTTGGATTAAACCTCAGTGGACTCAAAAAAAAAAAAAAAAGCTTACTTCAGAGCTGACAATATGCAGAATTATGCCAAAGTATTTCTTTAGGGATATCAAAAAACAAAAACAAAGAAAGGAAAGGAAATCTCTTGCTAGTAAATGAATCCTTACATCTTCATTCAGTCAAATAATGTTTACAATATTGAGTTAATAATTGCTTCAGTTTAGTTTAGCACATTAGTAAATTTGTCTGGTCATATTTACATTGATTTGTATTGATGCTTAAGAAATCTGGGAGTTATAAGACCTAAAATATCTGTTGAGTCCCAGGTTGGCCAAAGCTGCTGTGAAACATCTTCTGCTCCATGAAAGAAGGCATTACTTTGGCAAAATAAGATTGGGGTGTAAATGTTTCCATTAAATAGACTGAGGTCACAGTGTGACTTAATATTTATGGAACATTTTTCAAATTCCAAACAGTTTTCAGAAGTCAATTTATTCCAAAGGAAAGTCAGTTGGATTTAAACCTGGGAGGGTAGAATTGAAATTCTAGATAAACGGTGAAGTTTCTGGGTAGCCATATCTCTTTTAGTTCTAATGACTTACTTTACAAAGTACCCTGTGACAACAAAAGCAACTTACCCTTCCTGTTTAAGGAGTGAACGTTACACATGGAAGATGAATCTGGTACTGTTTGCCAATATCCATGAAATATACAGAGGCAAACACTTCAAAACGTGTACGTATGGAAAACATTTATCAAACCAGTGGCTGTACTCCAACAGAAGAGAATATATGTAGCTCAGGGTTGAACTGTGGAGTCTTTGGTGCTCTCTGAGCTTGGTTGTTTGCTTTCAGATGTTTTATTACCTGACTAGGGATCATCAGGCTAGCACATCTGCAAGCAAACAACCAAGCTCAGAGAGCACCAAAGACTCCACAGTTCAACCCTGAGCTACATATATTCTCTTCTGTTGGAGTACAGCCACTGGTTTGATAAATGTTTTCCATACGTACACGTTTTGAAGTGTTTGCCTCTGTATATTTCATGGATATTGGCAAACAGTACCAGATTCATCTTCCATGTGTAACGTTCACT